AGGATGCCGAAATCTTCGAGAATTCTATACTAACCAATCACAATTAGGGTTAAGATTCGGTAATAATTGTTGCCGCCAATAAAGGCGGATGCCACTCAAGTTTTAATTAGAAGGAACGCCTTCTGCGAACTTTAAGACCGTACCGCTGTTTTAATGAACTTTTTGGCCGTAGATCAGACATTAGGATCCCGACGAAAATTTCATATATTTTATAGTATATATATATATATATATATATATATATTTTGTCACGCGTCAGCCAGTAAGCTAGTATACAGTTTATTATACCGGTACACGCTTCAAAGCAATCGATCCCTCAGCGCAGATTCGATGACAATTTAAATTAGGATTTTTCTACAGTCCTCGTCATCGAATAAAAATATTTTTATTGCACCAGATCGATGCGTGCAGCTTCTGTACAGCAGTGTATCGAATTCCATCATGGCAATAAACCGATGAGTTACGAGACCCAGGAGGAATCAGGATATGATGAAGAAGCCGCGTTCACTAGCGTCCAACTGCAAAGAGAAATAAAAGTGCACTAGAGTTATTTATCACCTTTGACATTTTTCGAAAAACCGTCACTCCTCGGTCTTTGTTCGAGCCCACTTAACGTGAACTTGTTTATCTTTCGAATCGTAATAAAAGTTCGATATCGATTGTCAGCTAGATAAAAATAATAGTTACAACAAATCTTATAATTATTATTGATAAAATCGAGAATTCTTAAGGCAGAAAGAAATATGAAAAAAAAAAAATAACAGACCCGCATACCTCAAGAGAGCAGAATAGGATGTCAACCGGAGGCCATAAATAGCATCCAATCGCGTACGTTATGCCGATCCAATCGAGATTCATACATTGATCAGAGGCGCCGCTGCCGTCGGCAATGAAGATGCGGCTACTTCAAAGGGAAAAGGTTTCGATCAATTTGGAGCACGTAGGTATAATATACTATACGTTATGTTATGTCGAATCTCGCACATCCGCTCCACCCATTAAAAGAGCACACCTTAGGATCCCTCTTCTCGTCCTGACGTTTCTCTTTTGTCAAGAGAACTCGAATTTCCGCCGAACCACCAAATAACTCTATAACTGACACATCTTCAGATTTTCTATTCCCAGGACGATGATTCTCAATCGATCAAACGTCCGATTTCACTTGCTTTTCCACCTTATACGTATCTGACGAGATGAAATTAACATTACATATATATATATTGGATTTATCAGTCTCACCAAAATATCCATCTATATTGCTACTGTCATTTATATATTTTACATGTACTATATATGATACGTTATTGTTCCAATTTTTAATCGCGATATACTAGTATTATTATGTATAACAAAATAGTGATGATATTCTCTGATATGTTCGACTTGCCATGTATAATGCGATAATACTCAATATCCTCGAGTTATTCGTTTTTATATGATCCAACTGATCGATATAGCTCTGATCGTCGAATAGGGATCGAATAATCAATGATTGTACATGGATGATATCCGCGCGAATATCATGGGACTATTCGAAGCCATCTGGAACAGGCTTTAAAAATGATTTACTTGCCGCATTATGTAGGCAAGGGGCCCGTAGCTCGTATTTCCCAGGAATAGTCCATTAACTCTCTGGACCAAGGCAGTAGCGGGTCAATATTGCCGCGAAATAGGAAATGATCGCAAGGAGTTTCGGTGGATTAGCATTTGACGATTAATCAGAGGGAGCCGTCTTTGTCGGACCTTCTGCATAAATAAGTGTAAAGCGAAACGGACCCGGATTTTACAAAATCTTTTCGCCATAGACCTCGCAACGGAGGACGATTATATTCGAAGCACGAAGTAGGCCTGATTATCTTTAATTAATGTACCTTGTTTAAAAAAAACATTTCAAAAAACATTAATAGTTTGCATTCCTAATTTTATCGTTCACTGTACATATACCGGGTGATCGTTAATGTGTAAAATAATTTTAATCAACAGTTACGCAATGATTTTCTACTTCGGATTAACAATACTCCAGTTGATCTATAATCGTTATCAATGTCAAGGGATGCGATTGAGCTAAAGGATATCGCGGAAACTGCTATTCGCGTGATTCCTGAAATGCCCATAAAAGGAGGTACCCTACTCGAAAGCTCAGCTAAGGAGAAGGGAATATAGCCCGAGGAAAATTAATGTTCGACATTCCTCTCGAAATCTAAATCTAGTCCTCCTTGCTGACGTTAAGGGATGAGAAGAATTTACGATATACAAAGCGGAAGTTTTACTTGGTTACATTCCAAAAAAAAGAAAACAGCGGATTTTTATTATTTCCGAGCAGCTATAGTCCCATTTCGCGATAACCCTTGGAATTTATATAGAAAAAAGTTTGGAAAAAAAGGCATTCTGGTCATCAGGACTTACGAGAATATTGATATGAAAATCTGGGGGAAACTTCTCAAGTACCATAACAGTGTTGGGAATTTTAATGCCAGAATTGCCTATACGTTACCCATGTGTGCGTAATCAAGATTGGTTAAAGAAAATTCAAATTTGGAGCAGATGATTTTTCGAACGCTTGTCATACGAAGGTTTTATAAATCTGGTTAGATTGATTTTTACTTTTACGTTTCAATCGTGACATAATCTTCCTTTCAAAAGGTATACTAACAATGAGTCTATTGACACGAGATATATCATTGATTCCTTACCGAGCTATGTGAATACATTTGCATCTGTTTGCTTTAGCCTCCTGAGTAGCAGTCTCTTTATTAATGCATCTATCGATCCCGCTGAGAACATTCGATCTGGAGTATCGATATGAAATCAAACGTTAATCAATATTTAATTGAAAGACTGTCACTCACTCGACATCTCATTGTCACTGAAACTGAATGCAAAGTGCAGTTTAGTTTATCAAACTATAAATTGTATAATCCTAAAATCTTGCAATGTTAAAAAAATTATTTTCCATAAATTTCAATGTGTCTGATCAGTCTATATAGGCGGTACGATTTGACTGATAAATAATTGTAATGTTTGATGTAATATCCCATTACTTAATACACATCGAAGTAATTGCTCATTGACGCAATAATAGTGCAATTATTTTGCATAAAAAGTACGTTGGTCGTTAAACTGTGCAAATATGCAATTGACTGGTAGGAAGAAGGTCGTAGTAAAGAAATTAGCATAACATTGTATAACCATTAGTTTGCTATAATTAACGCACCGTAAAGGCATGCCACAAGTATGAGCCGCCTTTGAAAGGCAAATTGTAACGATATTTCAACCGCCTCGGCTTTTCGTAAATGTTAAAATCGAAAAAACTCCGCCGCTCGTATGTGTCGCGAATGATTAATTGGCAATATAATCATACACGCGCGTTGCGGGACTAACGTGTTTTCCGAATTTTATCTGATATTCTTGATATCTTTCGATAAGTAAGTCACGACTTACACGCACAGTGACAACTGTTGATGCACGCGTGCATCAATCTAAATTGTAATATAAAATTGAATTATCATAGCACTCGCGATAGCAAGTAAAAATTATAATGAAAAAAAAAAAAACATTTTCAAATGGAATTAATATTACATAAAATACAATAGCAATGAATTGTACGCAATAACTCCGCCTCATATTTACGAAAAATGTCCCGTGTACGACTTTTCGAAAACATTACACGAAATGCAGCAAAAAAATTCTATTCCTACTTTCGTGAAAATGGTCGGACACGGGAAACGATATGCGAAAAGTTTTCTTATAAAATAAATGTTTCCTGCAGCTCACGTGCAATCCGCTTCTTAATATTTTTGCAACGATGAAAGTTCCACTATAAAGAAAAAATGTCTATAACTATTTGGAAAATCCGAAAGCCGCATACACAGAATACTCATGCTTATGTCATATCGAAAGTGAAATCGTAAGGGTGGCGGACACTTTCGCCTCCCTTCGATGGTGAATTCACTCGGAAGTAAGTTTCGGATTCACGGGCAGACATTTAAGACGGTAGGTAAATAGTTATTCTATATATGGGAAAAACAGCTGTCAGTTCGTAATGCGTCTGGGGGATATAGATTTAAACAAATTTCATACTACCGCCTACCCTGGACCGTTATATTTCCACGAGACTCAAAAGTTCGATAAATAGAAGATACTTTTGATTTAACATAATTTCAAAATTATGTAAAATACGTTTAAAAATAAATTCGATTCATGATCACCCCTACAGCCCACAGCCAACAAAAAATGAAAATCGCTCTTATAAACAAGATTTTTTTTTCAACTTTTATAACTTCAGACGACCTTAATCACATCCGTGAGGTAAATTAGCTTTTAAGATCACGACCAGACCTTCTAAGGGTGGCTATTTAAATGACGTCCTCGTGACTAGATAATCGTTGGAAAGTCGTTTGGAATGAATTCTGGATTGTTATTATTATTGTTATTATAGCAGTGATCAGTTATTCGAACGTCGAATATTAAATTGGCGTAATAACGATTCGATTAACCGCTTCATTTCTTGGTCCATAATACGAAAATTCAAGAATTATGTAGCATCATGCAGAAATGTCTGTCAGGATGATTCTCTCTGCTGGTAGAGGACTGTCATCGCGTTGAACTAATTGCCAGTGACTGATCCACTGACACTGATTGAAACGACAAGCTCTCTGAAGGCCCGGAGAAAAGTGACGTCTGAAAACGAGGGTCGTGAGACGTAAGGACATTATTCTGGGTTAAAGGGTTCGTCTCCATTGAACTGAATTTACTTATTGGCTTTCTGCTCTACGTTTTTGGAGCTAGCACGAAATTTTTCATACATACATTATGTATCTTTAATCAATACACGAAATTTTGAATTTTCCCAATTGTTTGACCGATTAAAAATATCAATTTATTTAATAAATTTATTGTTAAAAAACACTTTATTTTTATACATATTACTAAACACTTTTTTTCATACAAATTTTTCAATTAACGTAATAAAGTATTTGAATTTCGGAAAAAGTCATTATTATATGCGAATCGTGTTACTAACGAGAATGCATGAATTGGAACGGCTAATTTCCGTGCACGTTCCACGTTACGCCAGTGATTAATTTAATGCGTCACATAAACTTACGTGACAGATTCCAGCAGGAAATTCAAGTAGCGGATGAGCGTGAAGTAAACGCAAGTAATTTGTAACCCGCTCGATTCAGGAAACTCTCTATCAAAGTGATCAAAGAAATTTTTGAACGTCGCATCCTCCACGTAGCAATTTTATACGTAATCTGAAAACAGAGTAAAAATTTTGTCAAACTTATTATATCCGCCGTGCATTTCGCTTCTTCGAAGAAAATTATTAAAGTTTCGCACAAAGCGTTAAAAGATTTAAAAAATATTACTATTGATTCCTCTCGACTTAAAGATGAACGTACCGAGAGAATTCCACAGGAAACTTTGTCCACGGAGATCAATGCCAGATTGGTGATTCGCGAAAGTCCGCCAGTATGATCAGTCATATTGCAATATGAAATTTAGAGACAGAGCGAAAGAAGTGGGGCAAATAAGTTTTATTGTAAAAATCAACGTTAACAAAACGTTGACGCTCGATTGGCGCAATTTATTAAATTTCGCAATTTTCCAACAGAATGCTCAGCAATATTCTTGAATTAACGTTAAAGCTATTTATAACCGATGACAATAAATACTTACCATCGGCAAACAAACATACGATACATTTCTGCGTTACATGGCACTTACCTAAAAGGAAGAATGCACTACGTGCCCGCAAGTGAAAAAAAAAAAATCTGCACAAACAGGTTTCAAGTAAAAGGACCGAGTTGTGCGGTCGCGCGAAAAACCGGCTTACCGCAAATATCGAAAAAGCACGACCGGAAAGTAGTAGTAAAAAGATAATCGATATTTCCTCACCTTCATCCAAACTTGGCAAACAGCCTTGACAAAGGTACGAAGCTATAGCGTCCATGGTCCGACGGGCGGCACACGAAGATTCCGATTGCAATCGTTCATCCCTCTATATTCGGTCAGATCGATGAAATCGAATTTTTTTGCACGCGAAACAGAAATTCATTTGACTTGCGTCATACTCGACTTTGCGTCAGCCTCGTGCACCGTAAATTTTCTTTGGAACGGAAGTGCAACGGTAACAGGAAACGAATGCATCTACCCTGCCGGTTCGGCAACATCTGAAAACACAAGTAATAACGTTATAAGTCACACACGTTAAGAGTAAGCCCGGCTAAAGTAAACCGAGTACATAGTTTTTAATTCCTTTAATCTAGCCGTCCCAGTCGGACACTCTGTAGAATTTCTGAGTGGCGACGAGACTTCAGAGAAAAATATCCGATCAAAAGAAACGGTCGCCATGCTCATTTTTTGAGGCCACGATATTTTCGTGCACGATCGAATCTCTGGGGTCGAGGGAAAAAAAAAAACGTCTTTTTCCTGCTTAGTTAGCAATACTGTTTCGCACGCCAAATGCGTGCAAACGCATGAACCAAAGTTTTTAAATTCGTAGAAGCATCGTATCTCAGAAAATCGAATGCTGCATCTGCAACTCGATTGCCAAGTTAAAGAAAGACATTGCAGATCCAGCGGGACAACCAAACCTAAAGAGACTGTAAAGTGAGGATTTCGCCTCTTATTCTAATGACAAGCTTAATTAGGAAAGTTGAATCGTCATTTGGTCCTGCATTGTGGTTTGGCGGACTATTACTAACTGCAATAAAATCACGGACACTCCAAGTGCTGCAGATTATGGTTCATTCAGAGTGTATGTATTCGTGGCGATAGGACTGATCCTTTATACATGGAAAAAAATGCATACGACAAATCACCTTAGATATGTAATAAGAAAATATTTTAAAAAAAAGGATATTTCCAAAAAAGCTGTTCCTTCCAAAATTTATTAATAACATCATCAATCAATATTTCCCGGTATCACTGACTAACGACCGACTAAAGTTTTTTTCACTGGATAATAAATACACCGCTATCTTATCCCAAACTACGCTTAACTGCATTGTTGCATCTCGGATGCTGCGGTACAACACGTAAGCCCAAACATGTACTTTAAGCACCAACATAAAATACAAAACCGCATTCAGACTTGCCGAGATAAATATTTTCGTGAGATTCGACGAAACAATTAATTTCTATATCTCCCTACGTAAAATGCATCTCTCTCCTTATCCTTTTTTCTTCTCATTCGCAATGAGCTCATGCCGAAAATATAACCTTAGCCGAATATTAATGAGGAGTCCTCGAAACACAGAGAAAACAATCTGCCGCGTATCTTGTGCTCGTATGCATCCAAATACAGACATGGTATACGTATACATGCATTTCATACTGAATTTGACCTTCGGTGCGGAGACCATGTAGAGAGCACATATGCCATACACATAAATTCCAACGGATCAAGATCCTCTACCGATTCTGTCTCTCAGGTACAATCTTACTCCAAAAGGGAACTGAACTTTATTTCCCAGTGGGAGATCAAATCTGTCATGCGTTGCAATGTGCATATTCGACATGACAGACTTATGCTGTTGCATCCACATCTCTTTGCCGGAATGCACCACGATGCATCAACAGTTTGACTCTACAGAGAATAAAACCGAGCTCGGTGCAGAAGGCACGTGCCACGTAGATATATAAAGCAACAAAACCGAATGCGACCCGTTAAATAAATGGCAGTCATCAGTCATGTCATTTTTGGATTTTTCAGCTACCTACCATAATAATATTTCAAAAAAAAAAAAGCAAATAATATTTGAATTGAAATTTTATATCAGTAAAAAAAATGCATAACACCGATAAGCAACACGTGTTGCTGGATGACGTGTATATCAATATATGACAGTTCGAATTTGAAGAATTTTCAAAATCAACGATAGATTGACAGTGACTTTTTTTTGGAAAATAACAAACTAATTGGTTTTAACGTTTAGCAAAAAAGAACGGATCTTGTTATGAACGTCGAGCCGCTTCTCGTTAAATTGTATCAGCGACGAGGGATGCTGCCAATTAGGTACAGGGAAATTGTAATTATTACGAAAATACTCGAGTGAATTATTTTTCTGTTTTTTTTTTTTATTTGAAAATTTACTGCTTCACACTGTAAAATTGTTTTTAGTACATGTACGATGTTTGGCTCGACTTATTTTCTTTTTATCATTGGATATACCTATTATGAAAATAAGTTCATGTTTTTGCATATATTCACTATCATGCCGCGTGCGACGCTTCGCATCTTGCTGAGATACATATATGAAAGTTTTTTTGCTGAATAAAGTTCTCTCTGCCCTGCGCATTCCCTTTATGAGAAATATTCGTCACGCCAAACTGACAGCCCGCGAACTTTATCTCCTTACCAGCCTTGGCAATATTAACGATAGTTTGACTGTACTGTTTGCACTTTTTTTTTGTTATTTACGTGAAAGATGTTACAGAAAGGATATATACGTAGGGCGCGAAAAAAAAGTAAATATTTTCAAGGCAGATATGGTGTCAAAAAAAATGCTAATGTTACGCAACGTATTGTAACCAACACATCCGAGGATATTCGTATCACGGTAGTTATAAGATCCCGCTAGTCCGAATAACCTTAAACATCAAGTAATAACAATTCGTAGGTATCGCGAGCCTCAATTCTTCCGCACCTCTCAGGCCCCCTGGCCAACCATAAACGGCGACGCTTCGCGACTCGAGCATTCTATCACTTGAGCTAGCTAGCTTACCTTTAGTAAAGTAAACGAGGAAACCGTCTCGGGCAAGCGGGCAAACCGTCCCACTTGACCATCATCACTTACAAGAGTAGGTACTTCTACTCTTGTAATCGAGCAAACCGTCTCTTCTGCCAGATAGAATCAATCTCTGCATTTCAGTTGGGCCGTCACTTTGATACACTTGATCATTGTGCAGTTTCTGCTACACATGCCATCCTAACTTTACTTAAAGACTTGCACAACTAGCTACTTTGCGAATGAGACTTCTCACCTCGCCAAGATAGCAACGTTGTTTTAGATAGGACCACGTCTACCTGTGGTCACGAGTTCCCTAGTGGAAGACTGCTCAACAGCACGACACTTATTCTAACGAGTCAACTCTGTAATCCAATTCCGCTGGTCGGAGGCTGCTTTCAGACACGATTCCATATTTCATTTATACATTTATATGTTATATATGATATATTTACGTATATATCATTTATAATCATTCTTACTTTCCGCTTACGTTTATATCTATTCTTCGCTTACCAAAATCCAGCATTCTCTAGGCTGGACCTGCACTAACCCTTCGTGTGTCCCGTTGCAGGACAATATGTTCTTTTGTAATTTGTAAAACAAAATCTCACTTTCATTTGTTCCGCCTGATGTCTTTCCTAAATTCCTAACAGTCGATTCTACCTCGAACCCGCCTTTTTGGCACGATCCGGAGAACCGTGTCGTGCGAATAAGGTTACAGTATACTATAAAAATCGCGTGCAATAGCAGAAGATGACTTTGCCAAAATAATTATTCGTTACGCACTGTCGCAAAAAAAAAGAAGGACGGTCCTGTTAAACGGGGATGTTCTCATTTTCGCAAATTTCAGAGGGCTTAATTATAAAACATGACAGGGTTTTTCTCACTGACGCAGTCTAGGAGGCCATTAGGGTTTCCTTCTAGCCTCCAGTCGATCAATCAGTCAGGCCGTGATCGAGCCCTAATCAAATTAACTCGGTTATCCACTATTCCGTAAAAAAAAAGTGTAATAACAGCAAACAGCATCGTGTATCTTTTATACAACGAAAAATCCCTATAAGCGAACAGCACTAACAAGTATACACGTGATCGTATCGATATCAAAATTTATAATAATTTCTTATCAGTAATCAAAATTCATATCAAAATTCGTTTCGATTTTAATGCATCCACGTTTACCCTCGCATTTCGCTTTACTTTAACTGTCGCTTATTTTAACGTTCAATCTGGCATTCAATTTCGACACTGCACATCGGTGATAAAAAATTGAATTCAAATAATTAAAAAAAAAAAGGAAAAAATAGTCACCCTCTTTCGACTAAGGGATGTATTTGACGCTCACAGCGTCCTAGTGCTGGATCGCAGGCATACAATACGTATGGAAATGCTATTATAAAGTGAAATTGCTTATCGACAATTTTGATGAAATTACATTGAACATTCACAAAAAAATTTCATATCTACTTATGCAACAAGGTATGCCATATTTGTGAAATTTGTTTCATTTAGTACGTAAACAGCATAACCTAACTATTACGTGAATTTACCTGGATACATATATTTTTATCAATACACGATATTAGTCTGCACAATATATTCCATGGCACGTGCGAATATATCTTTCTATGCGAATTTTCAGATATACTTATCAACCCCTCGTATACACTTGTATAGAAAAATACGATTTCAAGGTAGAGAGCACTGAATATAATTTATGAAGCGCCAAAATAGATGGAAAATATTTTTCAAATTTACATTCGTCATACGTGCGTTCATGGTTAACCCCCCCCCCCCCCCCCCCCCCCC